TGCCACGTGTATCATGTTACTAAATTTGAATTCATTGAAATTACAAAGTGACAACCTGCATCAGACGTTGATAACATGGAACATACGGGCATCATTGAGGTTGTCACGAATTTCAGATTCAACATCTGCATCAGATGTCAATAATCTCGTATTGGTTACTTTCAGCTGTACCAAATAATAATTACCGCTATTCTAAGAATAGTTTTTATCATTTGTTCTATATATATGTATATATATATATATAATGGCGTAATTATGCAATAAATTATCTTCAGTGAAATAAACATTTATTTTTTTGCACTTATTAAGGTTATCGAAATCGTCGACATATTTTTTTAAACTAAACTCAGTGGCACAACAACCCATGAGTGCCAGGGCCTACTGTGCCAACTCAGTATACGTGACCATAGGACACTGAGGTGCATAAGCAGATGTCCCGATCAGGTGGTTAGTCTGATGCGAAAGTCCGTGTTTAGTCCCCATGTGTGCTAGGTACTCATTTACCGACCCCCTGAAAGGATGAAAGGCTGAGTCGACCTTGCCCAGCCCAAGGATAGAATCTTGAATCTGTGGTGAGGAAGCGCGATATGCTACCACTCGGCCTCCATATCTTTTTTTTTCTACCACGGTAATAATTTTATGTACTTTTTGAAAAATTGATTAAGATAGTAAAATTAGTTGAACATTATAAATAAATACGGAATGGTATGAATTTGTTCATATCTGTATAAGAGAAAGAGAAACATAGAAAAATAGACAAGAACAAACAAGAAATAAATTAAAAGTAAAAGAAAAAAAACTTTTCTTGAAAAACACGCTTTTATTTAAATGCTCTAAAAGGAATAAAATAAACTTTTCTTTTAAAACTTTTTTTGCTAATAATTTATAAAGTCGTTACACAATTTATGATATAAAAGCTTATCACGAGATTTAAGTACTCGTATTTATTTAGTTTGAAAATTTTTAAAAATTAAAATCTATCAGATCAAGTTATTTAATTTGCTTGTTTATCTACATAGGTAAATCTCGCGAAAAGCTTTTACATCATAAATTGTGTAACGACTTTATAAATTAATAGCCAAAAAAGTTTTAAAAGAAAAGTTTATTTTATTCTTTTTAGAGCATTTAAATAAAAGCTTGTTTTTTTTAATTTTTTTTTTCACTTTTAATTCTAATTTTTTACTTTTCAGTTATCACTGGACAGAAGTTTCTCAGTCTGTTAATCTCATTCAACGCATTATTGTTGCAAGGTCGTTTGCCAGTTAATTTTGAACAGTCCAGCTAAGGGGTACTCAATCTTTTTTCACACACACACACACATGCCAGGCCACACATATATGATAGATATTTCACTCGGGCCGCAACAAAAGGATAATGGAAAGGGGGGATAAGCACTGTTAGACCAAAACAACATTAGACAAAGCAAAATTAATTAAAATATTAAAACTCATATTTTTTTTTTGCTTTTACTATAATACTATATTATAAACAAATAACACAATTTTTTTTAAATCCGTAATTTTAAACCAAATTTTTTCAATTTTTGTGCAGAATTTGGATAATACTATTCTACAAACAAAAAAATATTTTCGTGCGATTATATTTAAAAATGACGAAGCGTTTAAATGTTTTATTAAATTTTAAGTGTTTTTTGAAAAATCGTAAAAAAAAAGTTTTAGGCATTTTATTTTTTAAAGGACTGATTCTAAAAGAGAAAAGCCTGAACTTTCTTAGTGCTGAATATCGATTCAATAACACGAAACAAAATCAAACGGAACGATTTAGCAAAAATTCTTTTCATGAAACCGCATTGATTTTGACTCATTTTAGAAAAAAATTGTAAAAAACAGAAAATATGATTATTTTTTAAAAAGAATTATACCGTTTGCAAGAATTCACCCGAAAAAATTACTTTAATTAACATCTACACTATTGAAATTCGAAGGTAAACAAACGTATGCGATTATAAGACTAGGTGTATCTTCTCACGAACTGCACGACGCAAAACTCGCCGAAGGTACCAAAAAATTGGGAATGATCCAAGGAATCTGTTTTGACCTTTTATATTCCAAAAGTACAATTAGTTAAAAAAGATATTAATTAAAAACCTTAAAACGCATAATTATTGCCATTTTTTCTCACCAGGCGGCGAAGTTCCAATTTTCTGACATTTGTTTTATTCCAGAAGTTTTTAAAACAAGATCTAATTTTTTTTATGAAACTCAGAGAAAAAATAATTACAGAATCGGAAAGATCACTTACTTCGCCACGATACGAAATAAATTATTTTACACAATAATGATATTTTCTATTTTTTTATGATTTTTTCTAAAATCAGTCAAAATCGATATGTTTTTATGAAAATAATTTCTAAATCATTCCGATTGCATTTTCTTTTACGTTAATGAAATGAAATTCTACTCTAATAAAATTCATGCTTTTCTTTTTTAGAATCAGTCATTTAAAAAATAAAATGCCTAAAACTTTTTTTTTACAATTTTTAAGAAAATACGTAAATTTTTAATAAAACATTTAAAAACTTCGACATTTTTAAATATAATCGCACAAAAATATATTTTTTCGTTTGTTGAATAGTATTATCCAAATTCTGCGCAAAAAATTAAAAAATTTGGTTTAAAATTACGGATTTAAAAAAAAAATTGCATTTTTCGCTTTTTCCCTTTTTGCTAGGAATATTTAAGCATTATTTTTGTTATGGGTTTTGTTTAAGGGGTGTTGGAAAGCTAAAATCTTATTTTTTTGACAATTTGAGATTTTTACATTTTTAAATTGTATAATTTTAACCTTTCTAAAAATACCTTATTTTAACCCCTCTAGAGTATTTAGAAGCCATTAAAACATATTTTTAAATAATCGTTGAATTTGGGCCACGCCCATTTTAACGGCGAAAATTGTAAACAAATTACTTTGTTTATGCTTAAAAGTGTAACGACTGATATAAACCAAAACATGTATCTTTTATTTGAAATTGAGCCTTTTTTTTTTTTTTATTTCCTAGCCGATTAGAAGTCTCACTGTATACATTAAAATTAATTTATCTCAAAATGTAAATTTTAATGTGCGATGTACCTTTTCTGATAAACTACTGTTCTCAGGTATGTAAATTTTTTTATGAATTATTTATAATGATGTCTAATATATACTAAAATGAGCTTTTTGTAAAAACTCAAAAATTTAATTTTTACAAATCTTTTAATTAAAAAATAGGTCAAATTTCGCACAATGTTTGATAAAATATTTCATAATTTATTAAAAAATTCAAAATTAGCTAAAAGCTCATTTTAGTATAATGAGAGAGGTGTACTTTAATAGTATGAAAAATTTCAAGCATGCACATAAAACAGATTTTGAGAAAAGGTACATCGAAAACAGCCAATTTAACATTGTCAGTATAGAGGGAGAGAGAGGTTTCCAACTCCCCTTAAAAATTACCCTTGTTTGTAGTCAATATATGAAGTTTGAAGGCATTAACATAATATGAAGCCCGAAAATTTTTTTTTAACTTTATAACAAATAACGCAATGCGAAATTAAATATCTCTTTCTTTTATTTCAAAGCGGTCTTTTATTAATTTTTTCGGAAGATTCCGCGGATTGGTCGCATAGAGCGCTGGATTAGTAACTTTAGTATCTGGGTTTGAAACAACATCATCGCTCAGCTTTTATGATTTCTTTTTAAAAATACTCAAAATTTCAATAACATTTAATAATTTCGCCAGCAATTTTGTAATTGGAAAGGTAATTTATTTCGTCTCGATACAGTATGTTTTTTAAAATATTTTTTTATTCAAAACAACGATATTTTACATATTTTATGATTTTTTTCTAAAATGAATCAATATCGATATATTTATATGAAAATGAGTTTTAAAAAACTCATACTTTGATATTTTACAGTTAGTGATTTAAAAAAGAAAATGTCAAAAACTTTTTTCTTATGAATTTCATTTCCCCAATAATTCATTACTTTTTGTGCCACTATATGACTGCACGTGTCAAGATGCTTAAGAATCGTTGAATGGTCACTTACTTGAGATTTCTAATAGCGAGAGAGGAAGGGGAATTTCCATGACAATATGTTATGCATTTAAAAATGTTCGTGCAACGCCGGGGGGTGGGAGGGGGAAAAAGCTGTCTGTCAAAAGAAAGAAGCGAAAAAATTTCGAAACAGGGAATTTTAAGTTACACAATCGGTAAAAGCCCGAGCAACGCAGGGCTAAGCGAAGGAGGAAGGGGGTGGAAGTCATCTTGAAAAACAGTGTTAAAAGTGCTGATTTTGTGGAGGAAAGGGAAAACTTATAAAAGTAGAGAATGCCCGTGCAACGCCGGGCCATGCAGATAGTCTTTTTAACTAATTGCGATGTTGGAATATAAATTGTCAAAATATGAGATGTCGTCCAAACTAAACGTGTATACAAAATTTCAGCTCAATCGGTTGAAGACATCATCTTCAAAATTGAGTTTCAAGATTCCACCCGAACATTTTATGTTGCAAGTTAAATAAAAGCTTGTAAAAATATAGCACATTTTGTACGTATTCTGAGTAGAAGTATTGTAAAATATCTCGTTTTCCAAATCAAACAAATTTCAAAAATATTTTACACGAAACAATAATAATTGGAGGCGCGGGGTATCAATCCCCGTACCTCTCGCATGCTAAGCGAGCGCTCTACTTTCTAAGCTACGCCCCCGGTCTTCTTTATTATTGCAAACATGCTCGCCTTAACACCTGAACAAGATCGTTACAGTAACTAGGTCAATTAAAAGTGTTACGGGAGAAACTAAAATCGAGTAAATAGGTATCATAGAATGTTTCAAAGTAAATAGAAATAGCTTGATAGATCTGCCTTTCTTAGCGTTCGCTCTAGAAAAGTACAAATCTCACATACTTTGTACGTATACTGAGTAGAGGCATAGTAAAATATCCTGTTGTACAAATCAAACAAATTTCAAAAATATTTTACACGGAAAAATAATAATTGGAGGCGTGGAGTATCGATCCCCGTACCTCTTGCATCCTAAGCGAGCGCTCTGCCATATGAGCTGCGCCCCCCGATCTTCTTTGTTATTGTAAACATGCTAGCCTTAACACCTACACAAGATCGTTACAGTAACTTGGTCGATATCGGAATATAACTCGTCAAAACATGTATTGTCATCCAAACTAAACGTGTATACAAAATTTCAGATCAATCGGTTGAAGGCATCAGCTTGTAAAAAAAAGTGGGCCCTCCTCCCGAGAAACAGACAGACATACGAAAAGAAAGATCACGAAATCTTTTTTCCAGATTAACATAGCTTTCATCACTTTTTTCCCCCTATTATTCAACAAGTAGATTTAAGAATATTCTGTTACTATGACTGCTATAACTATATTACTTAAAAATATAAATTAACGTATTTACTCGAATCTAAGCCGCCATCGATTCTAACACCCCAAAATCTCCACACATTTTTGTAAAAAGTGAAAAATAGTGTAAAATGGTTTATCGAGATATCCAATTTTAAGAAATCAAAATAAATTTAAAGTGAGAACTAATAAAAAGTGAATAATTAGTCACTTTACCAGAAAAATAAACTTTTAAATACATATGTGAACATGTAATTACTCTAATGCTCCCCTCCCCAACGAGTATTTTTTGCCTTCCATTCTAAGCCGCACTCGATTTCAAGTAGGGTTAACATCGGAAAAAAGTGCGGCTTAGATTCACATAAATATGGTATTATAGGAAAATATGAAAATAATTTCCAGTAAAATATTTAATTTACGAATGAATGACCTAAATTCATGTCACGTCAGTCACATGATAAATGTAATCACATATTTCCAATCAACTAATTCATGTACCTCACTTTTGCAAAATTTTACTTTATGGAAAATTTCTTACAAAAATATTCATCCGCTAAAACTAACAGCGCACCCAAGAAAACAAAAGACGAATTAGTGAAGAAGTGTTTAATTATGACATTCTCTGAGACAACACGAAGGCTATGGGTGACGGACCTCGTAATTTCGAACCATTATCAAGTGATGAGGAGTGACAAAAGTAAAGCTGGCACTTTACTTATAAAACTTCCACACCCATGAGAGCTTAAGCTTTTGAGTCAATGGTTATCTTCTCAATAAACGCCGTGAGTGCAGACCACCAGTTGATGGGTGATGGCTCTAGTCGAAAAAGAAACATTAAGGCTGTCTTGCCCATTTATACTTCAAAATGGTGGCAGAAGTGACTTTCTGGGTCACCAGCCTTTGTCAGTGGATGCATCGATCCACGCATGCTGACTTTTCCTTTGACTTCACCCAGGGACGACTTAAGGCATGGGCCAACTGAGCTCGTCCCAAGGCTTCGGTCGCAATAGGGGCCCCTCGTCTCATTCTCGACTCAACCTTAAGATGATCATAATTAAAATAATTTCGAAGGTCAAATGTTATTTCCGGTTTATTCTCCGAAAAACTGAGAATTTCGGACGATAGTCAACTTACTACATGTGATGACCGACGTCTACGTACATGCCTAGGCCTACCACCATACACCATACTCATTCACTCAAAAGGCGATAGTCGATCGAGCTGGTATGTGCGACTGTAAATCATGCGTATTTATTTGTTTCGGGTAATTGTCTGAGCGAGTATTTGACAGTGTATGTGCTATGTACAGTTTACTTTTAAGAGTCAAAGGTGGGGCCTATATATGTGTAGGAACCTAGGGTCTACTTTTCAGTAGGGGCCTAGGGACTCAATCCCTGACTTCATCTGTTCTCCTCAAACTTGCCTGATTTCCTTGCTTCAACTATCTTGATGTATCTACGTTAGTGTCAGCTGTAATTTGATAGATGCAGCAACCTGCTCATCTCAGCCCAATCACCATGTCCTTTGTAAAATCATCTCTGTTTCTGAACTGCCTTGTTGGTGGCAGCTTGGTATTCGTTGTTATTATATGTGAACTCTGAGACAAGGATAACAATTCCACTATGGTGTCATAAATAACGGCACGGATATTGCCCATTCTCTGCTGGTTTGTTCTTTTATATCCTACTTATTGTGCAATAAAGAGCTGTGAGTTTCACATCATTTGCATTCGTCTCGATGAAGAGTTTCTATCATGAAATTTGTTTAATTTTCTGACAACTCTTTCTTGGTGGTGCATTTTGAATGTCACATAGTGACAGAAAGACGCGTGCTGACTTAGTCGTCTCCCACAACTTAAAAATACTTATATTTTATATTAGGTGTAACCAAAGAAAATTATAGTTAAAAAAGTCTGATGATTTTAGTCCTTGTTTCGATTCGCCCGAGCTTCAATTCGTTATAGTATGCCATAAAATAAAAAGCCAGCTGCATTGAAACTTTAAAAAAAAAAAGGGAACATCCTCATGTATAATTCAAAACAGCATGAATTGCAGTTTACAGAAAATAAGCGAAAAGGAAATGGAAAACAAGAATTAATTAATACATCAGCAGTTTTAAAAGAAGTCTAAAAGAATTAATTCACTCGTATAAAATATAAAATATTTATGGTCATTTAGAAGTCGAAATATATATAAATGCTTGTTCAATTCCTTGAAAAACATAACAATCCTTTTTCTTTCAAATTCCGGAAAACAGAGAAAAACTGCGACTAAAAAAAAATTTTTTTTTGTTCGCATGTAGCAAATTACTTTAACAAAAGATCATGCATAAACATGAACATGCCATTGAATCTGAATCAGCTTTCATTGTCCTTCTCCACACAAATGGATTAAAACATACGAAAAAAAAAAGAAAGGATTCCCGCCCAAACAGGCCAATCGGAACAAAAGATCTCTGAAAAGAGCTTTGCTCAGCAAATTCTTTTTTTTTTTTGTTGCTGCTAGAAATCGCACTGTCGTCTCGAAACGGCGTCATATCCGGGGAACCGACAAGCGTCACTTCCGTTTCTTCCTACATGGTTTGTTTTGATTTCGTTTTGGATGAAATGAATGGTTTCTTGAAGAACAGAACAGAAGCGGTGTGTCAGAATAGAAGACAGGGCATTTCCTGAGGAGTTGACATTCTGAATAAAGTAAAACACGAACTGAGGAGAGATGTCTGCGCAGCTGCATTTTATAAAATTACTTTTTCGGATATGCTTATTGAAGCTGTAATAACACTTCGCAGCTGCTTGGAAGTAGAATTTCGCGCCTTCGTGCAATAACATCATCATAATAAAAAAAGTTGGTTGTCTTCTTATTCTGTTACATATATACAGATGAGATTTGAAAGAAAATGAAATATTCATGCAGAATCAAAAATATATTCCAATCCATCTGAGTCAGAACAGAGCATATATTCAAATAAGATCTTCACTTCTCATATTCTGTTAGAGTTATGTTCTTGTGAACATTCAGAGTATTATTATAAATCAGAACCGAACAAAAAAAAATGAAATTAAATAAACTAAAACTACAAAATCGGTTACGTGTGCCTTAAAATAAAAACGATGTATTATAATTAAATAAATGCTTTAGCGACTAAAAATGAAATCTGTAAAAAAAGTCAAAATTTCAATTGCGTTAAAAATTATTAGAATTTATAATACAAAACATTTAGAGTTTTAGAATATGCATTAATTACGTCATTAAATTACTGTAAATTACTATGTATTATTCGCACCTATGCTTTCAAACTGTATTTTTAGATTTGTAAGTATATTCGCTGTATAACGAGCATCCTCTTTTTTATTGAGAAAGCTGAAATGTACGTGTGAACTGCTCTCATCTTTTGAAGTTCTCTCTCTCTCTCTCACACACATACACTCAAGTACGAAAGTATGCTTGAGGTGTGTCATTTCCATAAAATTAAGTAATATTTAGAAACTTGCAGAAATTTAATTTTTTATGCGCATCTTCTCTTTATTTTTAAAGCTATCACTTTTATATCCAGAGTATAACTCGCACCCATGAATTTCGATCTTATTTTTTTGTGTTATGAGAGCATGCTATCATCTGAATATACGGCAATATTGTTGAGACGAGCATATAAATAGTCTAATTTAAGACAGCATCCGCTTAAAAAGCAGCAGTATTTAATAATACACTAAAAATAAATTGTTGAATTCATTAACTATTAAATTTAATTACCGAATCAAGAATTTAAAACGAGTAATACCATTCTTTTTCGTGTTTACATTTTTTTGCATTTTTACGTAATTTTGCTGGAGCAATTATTTCTAATTACAACTAATTATATCATTTGTTAAGTTTTTTAAACATGGAATTGATGGTACGTGAAAAGCTAATATATGTTTATTTAAAGTGATTTTAATGAAAGGGATTTTTTGAAAAGTAAAAGGAATGTCCGCTCCCTCTTTTTCTCTTCTCGCGTTCATTTTTCTTTTTTTCATTTAAATATTGTATTTATGATTTTGATGTGGATGATTTTTTTTGTATCTTAACGATATAACAAAAATTATTTTTAACATTATGTCAAGCCTTTTTTGTATGTATGTTTGTGTGTTCTTCACAAAAAAAAATATTTATGTGATTTTTTTCAATTTTATTAACTTATCCTTTTACTCTAATTCTATCGAATACATTAATTTTTGTAACTATACGTAAATAATGCTCTTTTGCGTAAATTATTTTTCTCATTTTTATAAATAGCTGATTTTTTCCTTAGATTCCTTTAATTAAAAGTTTTCTCAGCGCGTTAAATAATAAATGATTATAACATTAAACATTTCTTTCCCTTGTAAATTTTTTTTAAAATTTATTTAATAATATATCATTAGTTTGGCAAGCTAGCTTTTTTTACTTCTTTTTTTTTCTAACTTGACTTTTAAATGCTTATAACACATTCACTTGTTTATTTACCGAAAAGAAATATATATTTTTTTATTTATCTTTTAAGGTAAGAAAATTTATAATTAATCCAATACAAATCTAAAATAGATTTTCCGAATAGTTTTCTATAGCTGTTATTTATTTATTCATTTTTTGAATGTATTTTATAATATAATTCGGATAGCAAATAAGTTTAGTTTTTTTCTTCATGTGTAAAAATAATCTCTCTCAACTAGTTTAATTAAATATTAT